CAGCAGCTGGTTATTATCCTCATAGACATCGATGATGTGTTGTTGGCGAAAGTTGTCGTTGTGGTTAGTGTTTTTCTCTTAAGTTTGGCTGTGTCCAGGAAAGTGCTTTGGTGCTGTGGCGAATACTCTCAGCTGGCATCGGGCATTTAATTGGATTTCTGCCCAAATTGCGTTTATTATTGCGGTCTTTATGAGGTGTGAAGGGGCCAATCATGAACGAATTTCACTCGGTTGAACCACTCAGGCCTCGCTAACCAGAGAGAGTAATTAAGTTTTTGTACGTCGTCCAAGCATGTAGTGTGGTTTGAATGCCTCTGTGGCTTGGCGGTGCGCAAATGCGCTTAATATCCAACTCCTTAAAGCCAATTGCCCATTGTCGATTGCCAACTTCCTTAAAGCACAGACACACCCACAGCTACAGACACTTACGCACACATCATAGTTATATACTTATTTCTCGCGCCTGTCTGCTAGGTAAACTGTCAGTACATCGAGTTGAAAAGCGAAAAATGTCGTGTCAATTGCAGGACATAAATCAGCAGAGGCAGCTAGCTAAGAAATGTAAATGTGAACGCTTTGCAAGCCACCCAGGCGTGGCCTTCGCCTACCCCACATGTTTGTCTATGGAGGCAGGAGAGTGGGGCGCCAAGGCAGGGGGCCTCAAGCGCAGCAAATGGTGACAATTTGTGAAGAGAAAAGCGGAAAAAATGAAGCGAACTTCAATGGAAGCTGCGTTGGATTGCAAATACTTTCATGTTCGTGCCACATGTGAAAGAAGAAAGAAGACGCAGCAGGCTGCCCAGCCAACCCCTCTCCCCACTTTTATTTTATTTGCCTGACCCACTTTGCGACGACTTGATTACAGTTTTCAATGCATGCGACTTGAATGGCGTTTTGATAGCCTCTAATGTAGCTATCTGGCATCGCGATGCAGTCCACTTAGTGCCAGTTAAGCTGGTAACCTCTCTGCTTATACCAGCTCATACCAGCCCCTTCCCGCACCTGCACTACAAATACCCCGTTGGCACTTTCACTGCCAGTCTGAATTACATTTCACTTATCTTTGGCAAACGAAACGAATTCTCTGGTCTAACATGCAAATCCGTACAGGCCGCTTAGTCCTTGAGCTGAGAGCAGCTGCGGACTCAACTAGACCTCCTCCGGCTTGGCGTCCCCTTTTGGCGTTGTGTTGCCTCGCACTCAGCTGCCATAATGTACTTGAAATATATTTTTGCATCTTCTCGGCGCTGTTTCATTTGTGACAAAGTGTCCAGATCCGGATCCGTACAGCTGTCATTCTGGCATATCTGTGAGTTCTCTGAGTTATATATATTAAAAACTGCCGTCTCCTGTTTGGGTTTCGGGTAGTTGTTGTTTAGGGCAGAGAGAAGCACTTTGAATTTATGGCACTGTGATTATTGCTTCACTTGTCTGCAGATATCTGGCAGACTGGCTGCACATAAATCCCCAGCTCTGTCACACTCAAGTATAGCTGGGCTGGTTATGGGAGAGGAGGCATTAGAGTTGTTTAAATTTAAGCCGGCGACTTCCGTTCCAGTCGCTCTTCATCTTCTTACCACGTGGCCGTGCATTCATCCAATTAGACGCTTAATTGTCTGACAAGCAAATTGCTTTGTCAATATTTTCACCAAGTCATCTCTCTCGTTCTCTCGTTCTTCCGACCTCTCCCTCTCTGTTTCGCTATCTAGTACTTCCCCAATCCAAACATCCCAAGCTAGCCCAACTGTCTACCGCACGCACTTACTTCTGACAGTTTCAAGCAGCGGACTTTATTACCCAACCCTCCGGCTGGCCATAGGGGAAGCGGGTCTATTGCTCCCTCACTCATAAGGTAACCATCAAACAGGCTTTCAAGTTTGACCACAAGTGTTGCTGATTTTGTTGTAGCTGTCGTGTTGCTCCTGTTATTATTGATGTTGTTGCGCCCAGAAAGCTGCCCTTTTTCGGGTCGGGCGTCTGGAGTAGAAGCCAGACTCGTGTCACTTATAGACTTCACTTTAAGTTGTCAATGTTTATAAATACTTACACGCCGAAGAGGCAGAGGCTTGCTATATTAGACACGATCTATCTTTCTTCGTGTATTTCGTCTCAGTCAATGCTGAGGCGCTTCTCCTTAGGGCAAGTAAAGGATCAACTTATATACCTGAGCCATCATTAGATATAATAAATTGTCCATGACATCTATGCTAAGCCATTGCAGGCTGGTTTCTTTATGTTTGGCAACACATTCGGAATTACAACGGAAGCCATAACGAGCAACATTTCACTTCCTTTAAACCCGGTTCAATAGCCGTAAAAACCGAACATAATTTTCAGTCCTCAATGATGATTTTATGCAAATGGTAATCAAGTGAGAGCAAAGGGCACACATATGCCTTGGCAATTCAGTTCAATAAAAGCCAACAAATGCCTCTTGATAAGTGTAAAATTTACAATTCCAATTTTTTACAACAGTTGTGAGGGGTCTTAAGCTGCCCCGCAGCCCACCCAAAAAAGGACTTAACAATGATATGAAAAAATTGCTTAAGCTTACAAAACGCCACGTTAAATACTGCGTATGCGAACTCTCTATTGAGGGCTAACAAAGGGCCCGCAACTCAATTGAAAAATCTCTCGAAAAGGGGTTGGGCACTGGAAATTGTGAAAGTCACCTAATGGCACAGCTGTTATCCGAGAGCATTCAAACATAATTCTCAATTGTCGGAGCTGTTGCTTTTGACGCTTGGCAATCAAATTAAAAATCGAGATAAATTTTGTTTTCTCCTTTTTTGCACCCCGCATAGACAGGGCGGAACAGCGGATCTTAAGATAGTCGACTTGATTGCTGGCATTGTGAAAAGGGGTTGCTCCGGGCCTCTAATGAAGTCATTAAGGGTAGCTGCCATTCGGCAGCCGTAAGTTTTCTATTGCATATCTACATCTGAACATGTGTTAGGTGTGTGTGTGTGCGGTTAACCTTGAGCCACTGGGTCCTGGGGTTCCTTAAATGTTGTTCCTGCTAGCTGCTGTCGTCGTCGGCAAATGAATAAATTATCAACTATGTGAAGGTACTTACGAGTGGTATGAGTAGTCATGTAGTTGCTGCTGTTGGCTTTTTGGGAGGGGTGGTAATTGCAGCGTCTTGTCGTCTAGGCCATTAGAACCTGGCACTAATGGGCCTCTCGCCTACTACGACTGCGCTGGGACTGAGAGTCAGGGCAGGCTGGCAGGCTGGCTGGCCAACTTAAAGTTGGCAACCAAAAGCCACAGCGACATTAGCGCATAAAAAAAGCATTTGTAAGACATGAAAGGCACTCAGTCAATGGTTGGGCAGGTGGCTTTTAAAGGAGGTCGGTCTGGCAACCCTGAATAGGGATGCTCAGTAGGAAGACAAATCAATGCAGGTGTCACAAATGTCAGACGACAGCTTTGGCCCGCCCGTGAGGATATTAATGTCGCTGACTGAATTGATGATGACGATTGTTGTTTGCTTGTCTGTCGGGCTGGCAGAGGAATGGGAGCAGGCGGAGCTGTGCTTAAGCCGATTTGCCATCTTATCACGGGGCACAAGGCACAAGGCACAAGGCGCAACGCGCAAGGCGATTCCGATACCAATCTCCGCCTGAAGCGCCTCACAGCTTTCATAATGTGCTTTTCCTGCCTGCCTGCCTGCCTGCCTGCCTGCCTGCCTTGCTTGGCTGCTTGACTGCCTGCTCGCCTGACTGCCTGTCAATTGACAAGCATAATAAATCATGTGTTATGGTATTAATCAAGTTGAAGCCTTCTTCTTGCTACTGACTTTGTAGATGTTGTGTGTAGCTGTTGCTGCGGTAATCGCATGACATTTATTGCAGTTACCGTTCTGCCTGCCACTCAAAGAGGCTTCAATTTAAACGGCCTTAAAGTCAACTATGACTTACAGCCAAGTCGACTGTGACTTCAAGTGTCCTTTAATTGCGCCTTTTGCTTCTATTCGCCCATTGTCCTGCTGCCTGGCTCGAATTGTTTCTCTAATTGCCATTCGTGCTCCGTCTTCTAGGGGTTACCCCACACAATGGCACTGTCTGGCCGGCACATTAAGAACTTGTAAAGTTAAATTAAGTGTTGCGTCTACTATGCAAAAATTAAAAGGAAACTGAATCGTGTGTGGCCAGAAAAGTTGTCCGAAACTTTTACTTAACAAGGAGTCTGAGACTAGGTCAGACTTTTGTGAGCTTCGCTGGAGATTCCTTCAGTTCTTGCTTAAGAGCAATTTTACATTTGAGAGCTGCAGCTTTTGCCTAGACAATAGATCAGCCAACGCACGCTACTTGTTAGAGCCTTAGAGAGTTCCTGCTTCTGTTTCTGTTTTCGTAACTTTTCAGACGACCCCCGGTAATTGTTCCTCTCCCAACTACAATTGAATGCTTATTATTTAATTTGCAGACTGTAAATGCAATGCAATTAAAGGATTAACTGGGAATCCCATTAGGCTTTATTGTCATCCGACATACTTAGCGCTAGCGACAGGTTGGACAAGTAGCGAATGATTCACACGGAGCTACACTTCAACCTGCAATAGAGGGATATCAAATCTTGGGAAAGATGCCCGTTCTCTGACTGGGATGCACTTCAATTGCGTCTCAGTATTGCTGACAATTGATATATTTTCAATTATTTAAATGACTGGCAACAAATCTTAAGTGCTTACGACAATTTGCCCAAATGCGATGGCCCGAACAAAAAAAGGGACGATACCGAAACTATCTCAGCCTTAATGTAATTGCTGTCCCCACCTCGACCACAAACCCAAAGGAAAGTAATAGGAACCGTTGCCGGGTGGATTTGTGGGCGGTCAGCTGTTGGCATTTAAATAAACCAACGTTGACTTTTTCAACTACATTGCGATATCAAATGCTGTATTTGTATGTGTGTCGATTTTCCTAGGCGAAAAACACATTTCTTTGCATTTTATTTCTGCTTGAAGAAAATTCGATTTTATTTTTAAACTAGAACTCCTGCTGCTTCGGCTGATACCGACAAAAGTCGCAAATCAAATAAAGTAAATTGAATAAAGACAAACGACACGCCCCAATCCCCGTTGAAATGCAGTTGAAACTTCTTTGGAACTGGGCGTGGCATTGGCGGCATGAAATTAGTTGCTAGTTCTATTGCTCATGCCTCGTGCCACTCGCTCGAGTTGTAAATGCGGGGACAGAAATCGAAATCAAAATGTTCGCATAAAAGAATTATCTCTGCTTAAGTTGGATTATCTCTGGCCATAGAATCCAATTGGCAATTGAATGGAAAGATGCAAGAGATTCGATTTGTCGACTTGCTGCCGAACGTAAAATTTATTTGCCGGCGCTGGAGCTGGCTCAGGCTCAGTCCCTGTTCCTGTCTGCCTCCGTTTCTGTCTGCCTCGTCAGTTCTGTATTTGAAGTGCTTTCCCCCAATCGACAGCCACTTGAGAAGTTGTCCAAATTCTGTCTATGTGACTGCGTCGAAGTTTTTTTATTATTAAATTTGATTTGATTTGCTTCGGCAACAAATTTATAAGACACAAGCATACGTTTTGGGAATTGGATTAGTTAAGAGTTAGTCGAATGCGCAATAAACTCCCAACTCGAATAGGCCTGATTTTGCATTGCCTTTAAACTTTATTCAGAGAACTTAGCTTAGCCTTAAATTGTACCTTTTATCCACATAGAGCGCTATCCAGGTGTGCAGACTTGCTCCCTTTGGTGGTGCCTTTCTCTAGCTCACGCAAAACTAGAGTCAGCAGCTCTATTTCACGCTTGATGAAGTCCACGCTCTTCTCTACATCGCGTCGATTATAATGGGCGTCGATATCTACAGAGATGAAAATACAACCAGCTGAGGACAGTCCACACTAAACGATAAAGATGAAGAGAAACCCACCACGACGCTTGCATAGCATGCGGTACAATATTTGGAGTCCATCCAGCGCGCGATCTTTGTCCAAATCGTTGTTGCTAATCGTATCCTTACAAAGACTCAACGTCTTCTCCCACCTAAGACCCAGAGCCCTTGATTGGTTATAGGAACGCTCAAGCTTGGCCAGATCGTTTTTCAGACCCAGCACGGTTAAAGCTGCTTCATTCGTTATCTTGACCATGCGCAGGCGCATCTCCTCGATCTCTTGTAGCTTAGTGTTCTCCAGCTCATTGATTTCAACCTGGGCGAGCACTAAGCAGAGTATTCGACCTGGGTTTAAGGCTGCAATGATTTCCTAACTTACTTAAAGCATCGCAACGATCCAAACAATCTTTCGGAGAAACAAAAATGTCCGATTTCTTTACCACTTCATCGAGAACCCTTTCGTACGGTTGGAATTCACGCACAGTCTCCTTGAGAGCAGTGCGAAAGGTGCTTAGAACGCTAACCGACCTCTTGAACTCATCAATGCCTTTGGTCAGTTCGTCATGGAGTGCTTCCTCCTGGCGTATGATCGTTTCGGCAGTTCGCTTCTTGTCCGCGCAGTCCTTGATAAAGCCATTCACCTCAATGAAACGCTTCCTCAAGCGCTCCTGCACCCGATACATCTGCGCAATGCGCTGATGGTTGAGCTCCTTCTCGCGCTGGGCCTCCTCCAGCAGCTGGCGCTGCAGCTCCAGCATGGCATCATGCTCTCGAGCATTGGCTATGTAGAGCATCTCAACGGAGTCTCCCGCCGAATCCCAATTTGGCGGTTTTCTAATATTGGAAATTGACTTGCAGACAACTTGGGGTCAGGTTGATCAACAGGCTTCTTACTTACACAAAAAAGCGTTCTTGCTGGCGAGAGATGAGGTATTCGCCCACCGACTCCTCGGGATTCAAGTCCAAGCTGCCGATGACATCGGTCTTTCTGGTGGGCTTATGACGCGGCATTTTGTACGGATCTTCTGCAGCTCTTTTCAAAAATATATGTTATGAACTTTCGTTCCCAATGCTTTTTAGTCGACTGACCTTCAAGTGTAAACAATATTAATTTGCCTAAACTATTTGACAATGAATGCTATGATTGCTATAATAAATAAAATAAGAATAGGTTGATTTCTATGAGGCGAATGGAGACAAACTAGAGTAACTAAGAGTTATGTATATTCTGAAGAATTTTTTCTTTGAGGTATCTAAATATTGATACCCATCAATAATTTAGAGGGCTAAAACCATTTTAACATATTTTTTATATATTTTATATTTATTAAATTGTTGGTTAAGATTATGACTTTCCTTTTTGGCACTTAGTATTTCCTCAATAAATAATAAAATATCTAATTGAGATTGTATACTTTCATTGACATTATTCCTTTTGCATAACAGACCTTTAACATTTGCACAGATGTTACTGCTTTCTGCCTAACTTACTGTTATGTATAACTTCCCCTGATGACTGTTTCCAACCAACGTTTCCCAGACAACGAACGTGTTTTTTCAACATAGTTTGCGTTGCTTAAGCGCTTGTTACTTATTCGTTTATAAACATTCAGATGACTAATACACTTACACAGTTCTAGTTTGTGCTTTAATTGTTTCATATTTAGTTTGATTTGTTACTTATTAATTAGCTTTTGGAATGCCACGCACTAAGCCGACCAAGACTATCGATGTCCTGGGCAATCTGGATTTGCGGCCCGAGGAGGCGGTAGGCGACTACTTGGAGTCGAAGGCCCAGAAGAAGTACTTTATGTAAGTTTGATTCTGCATGGAGTACAAAAGCAGTTTGTGTTAGCTTTAAGCCCTCCGTAGCAATTGTCCAAATCCAGATTCAGCGGGAGACTCAATCGAACTCCTCTACATACACAATACACGGGAGCATGAAGAAATGCTGAAGCTGCAAGAGCAGATGCTGGTCAACTCGAAGCGTCAGTCGGAAATTAATGAAAGGCGAGTCAAGCATATGTACAAGACACAGGAGGAGCTGAGGCAGCGCTTCATTGATGTGAACAGTTTCATCAAGGACTGCGGGGATAAGAAACGCATCGCCGAAAAGGCCATCAACGACGAGATGGCGCTGCACGAAGAGCTCAGCGAGGACATCAAAAACTTCAAGACCTCCATTAGCGAGCTAACGACCTTTCGCGAGGCTCTCAAAGGCACAGTCGAGGAATTGCAGCCCTATGAAAAGGTGCTCGAAGAGGTTGTGAGCGTGTCCGACATCTTTGTGTCGCCAAAGGATTGCATGGATCGCTGCGATGCACTTAGTATGTTTCGAAAAAGCTGCGCTGCACTGCACTTGCCTCATCTTATTCTATTTTTCTAGTGTTGGCCCAAGTGGAGATAAGCAAATTGGAGAATAAGAAGCTACAGGAGATCGAGGAGATGCGTCAGCATATGGTTAAGATCACCAATGAGGCGGCTCTCACTGTGCTGGGTCTCAAGAACGATCTATCCAAGCTGGAGCGATCCTACCACGAGTCTCGGGATAAGTGTATAAAGTGGGAGAAGATACTGTCGCATACTAAAGATGTTATTTCTGCGTCTTACTTGGAGCGGGAGCGAAATATTGGCGCAATTAATGCTTTATATATTCTGCTCTGTAGGCGACGTGGTAGGTACTCAATGGCAACAGACTATCCAATACACATTTAACTAACTTATGATTCCACAAAAACAGGTTCAATTTCAGATGCGCCGAGTTTGGGTATTGCTGGGGAATTAGACTTCATCAAGGAAGAGCTGCTGATACTGAATGAATTGTTGAAGGAGTTCGATAACGCGAATAAATCGAATGGTAAATCGCAGAGAATGGAAAACATGGAAGCTTACTGCTAGCAAGGCTTTCAAATCTTCTTTGTTTTATATTTGCACTTAATAAATAAACAGGACAACTTAATAACTCAATGCAAAGCTCTGATAGGGGTTATTTTGTGCATCTAAGGTGGGTACGTAAGGCAGGTCAATCGAGCAGTGCTGAGTTGACCTGAAGCAAACAAAATTCTTTATTTAAAATGAATTAGTTTCTTTACGTTTTGGTATGTTCATAAAATTAAAGGCAACAATTTTTATGAATTTCCTCTATTACATATGCATGTAAATTTATCTTTTGACTTGACCCTTTTTAATAGTGAGCTTTCGCCTTATTGCTGCTTTTAAACGTTATTAATATCGCTTGTTGATGCCACTTTCTAATTGCTTTTACCTCATAAATCTTGCCCCACTCGGACGATAGCTTTTCTTTCCCAACTCCGTTTCCAACTTCAACACAGTTCAACTTCGAGTCCGACTCCGAGTCTGACTTTTGCTGCGCTCTCTGCGTCTGCAGTCGCCATAAGTCACAAAATTGTCGGACTCTCAAGACAAATGTGACGCTGCATTGGCCGTTAGCTCATTTAATTAGAAAACTAGAGACAAGGGCAACTGCAGCTGGACGTAGCTGGCTAAGGCCAGAGCACTTCCATCTATCCGCAGTAAGCCGGGAGTGCAGTTAACGGCCTGTCGCATCAATTGCACATTACGGACTGCACAAAAGTTCGCTTGACGGCTTTTTAATTACGTCAGTCGAGGAATGTGCCCAGTCCAGTTGCAGCCCTCTGTTGCTCCTACCTTGCTCACAATTAGCGGAACGGCTGACAATATCTAACACAAAAAAAGTAATGTCAATTGCACGACTTGACACTCGGCGGGAGCATATTGAAAAACTTTTTTAATTACCACCGAAAAAAGGCCGTTTTCAATTATTCATCGACAGGCCTGCGCTGCGACGTTTAACCTGTCGACCACTTGACATTGTGGCACAAGTCCTGACGACAAAAAACCAAAGTGCGACTCCATTCGTTACAAAGAAGAGCAAATACCCTCGAAGGGAAAGGACTCCAAGTACTACAGCTGCTGCTTAAATTGGTATTGCGAATGGGCTTAATCAAATTTCTAGAGCTTATTCCAATTATGTAAAGAATTTATTTGATATTAATTATGGATGCAAATGGCTATAGGTAGTTCAAGAAACTACGTTTTTGAATATAAAATTATAATTATTAAGTGATATTATTACTAAACTAACAATGCTTTGCTGTATATCTGAATCTTCCAGACAACATTGTTTGTTAAAATAATATATATAGAAATTTACTTGCGGAAAAGGAATCACAAATAAGACTTTAGGAGTGAGAGTGGAGATGAGAGTCAAAATTGATAGCTTCATTCTGTATGTATATTCAACTAATCTATTATTAATTCGTATAGAAAATAATTATTAATTCCCAAATTTAGCTTGAATATTGGATAATCACATTAGTCACCTAAGACCTCCGATATTTGTCAGCGCTGGCAGCTAAAGCCTGTGCTGTTCGCATTCATTTGATTGTAAATTATAAGCATCATAATTACGCATTATATTTGCAAAGAGAATATAGTAGTACCCTGTAGAAGAGTATTAGAGTAAAAGCTTAAAGCTGTGAACCTGGCTTAAACAAAGAGTTGAATGGACTTTTCGACTAAAATAATTGACAATTTTGTTGCTATGCCTAATCAATTGAATAGAAATGCTTGATAATATAGTCAACAATTTAATTGGCTAAATTAAAATGCAAAATTCAAATATCTAATTCAAATGATTTTCAGTCAACCGAACAGCAGATTGAAAAATTGGCCCAATGCAACTGGCTGACAAATTGAGCGCCCCAAAATAAATTTTCAAATCTCCAACTCTTTCGGCAGTGGCTGGGGGAGGGGAATGAAAAGTTTGACATTTTTATGCCGTGTCGTCGTTCTGTTCGTGTTTTGATTCCCATTTCTTAAGACATTTCCGCCCGCTGGAGTTGAAAAGGTGTTAGAACTCAGCCGCTGCTGTTGATATATAGACGAGTCTGGAGTATATGAAAACATTTTAATTAATGCTGACAGCTGAAAAAGTCGCGGTTGCTTTTGTTGTGTAAATTTCTCGTTTCGTCGTCTTGAATGCCCTCTCGTCGAGGCATTGGGCTCAATAATTATTATTGGATTTCCTGCGGCATTCACTACTGGTTTTTCTTTTTCTTTTCATTTTCATATCGCTTCGGCTTGTGTTTTTCTTCTTCGCTTCTTTTGCGTTTTCTATTGAATAACACGTCAACAAATTAATCCGCTTAGCCCCGCATTTTTACCTCATCGAGTGGGTGCTCCCGCTGGGGCCGGCGGGCTAGACAACTGCCAGACACTGAGCCCAGAACCCAGTCGCCTAGCCAGACAGTTAAGCTTTAATCCTTCATAGTTACTTCTGGCTTATTGAATGCAGGGGTAGCTCTGGTTAGTATTTGCCTGAAGCTTGCTAAGGTTTCCCCTTTCGTTGTTGCCCGGTGTCAAGGTAAATGATTGAGCCACTGGGGAATGTCCCAGAGAGCAACTCCACTTAATTAATGGTTTTCGATTGTTAAAACATCGTGCAAAGCTTGGGTGCGATAAGCCTAAGGCTTAGATATATCTGTCATTATGTCTGATAAATCAAAAGAGTGAAATATGAATTGTATGGAGTATCAATTCAGCTCTCTGAACATTAAGATACCCCAAGTCACGCTAAATATTTCAGCTATTCAAGTTATGGAAGCCTCTAAATTACCCCCTCACAAAAGCCTTAGCACGCGATGTGGTTCCTGCGACTCGTTTTGTTTTTACCAAATTTAATCGTTGTGACCTCTTCGAGCTAAGGTTAAAACCAGCAAAAGTAATTAAAAATAATGCATTTGCAATTCGTTTAGCACAAAATAAACCTATATACTATTATTATATAGAATTGCTGTGTAGGTTATTGTAAAGAATACAAAGATTTTATATATTTTGGATTTGAGATACCTTCAAGACTTCCCTCGAAGTTTAAATTTATTTGTTATTATTTATTATTTACAATACTAGATTTGTGCTTTGGAAAATACAAGTACCTGTATGCCATAATTATGCCCTTAACATTTTATTAATTTCTAGAAGAATTATATATATAGAATTGCTGTGTAGGTTCTTGTAAAGAATATAAAGATTTTATATATTTTGGATTTGGGATACCTTCAAGACTTCCCTCGAAGTTTAAATTTATTTGTTATTATTTATTATTTTAAATACTAGATTTGTGCTTTGGAAAATACAAGTACCTGTATGCCATAATTATGCCCTTAACATTTTATTAATTTCTAGAAGAGTCTAGAAAGTTATTCAAGAATTAAATTTTACTATGGTAATATTCAAGCTCAGTTGCTGCGACAACTAGAGCACTCTTGCTTGTTTTATTTGAATATATAAACCTGAATTTATTTTTTATCATTGTCTTTACGTAAGAGCATAATCTCTGATTTATTTTTTATCCATTTAAATGTTAAATTTTATAATTTTTAGCGATGTCTCATATTATTATTTACTATTCAAGAGATCAGACTTCTCAATCATTACTGTTTAAGTATTTTGTGTGTTGATAATATTTTAAGTGTTGATAATATTTTCTGGTATTTTAAAAAATATGCGTGCAGTAGAGAAATGATCATGACTTAAGCTTTATCTAATGCTTATAAACTCGATAATTTATACAAAAGTTTTATTAACTTGTAGATCTAAAGCGTATTGCCATCAGGAGAGATTAAAAATCATTTTTAGTTATTTTTATATTTATTATATCTTATCATAGTTGTAATTTAATTGAGACAAATTAAATGTGTATGACAAATTTTGTTGCTTTGTTTGCTTTTAGAATGACATATTTAAATGGAGTTTACTTTAATAAGGGCTGATTAAATGTCATCTAGTGTGTAGCTAATTAATTTTTAGTGCTAATTTAAGAATGAAAATACTGATGTATAAATAAAGTAAATGTAAAAGTCAGTAAACATTAGGCTTTGCGAAAATATCACCTCATGATAAACATAAAATAGTAAAATAATAAATTAAATAAACAAAAATCAATAAAACACACATTCAATTCATTCAAGCATATATTTATTTAGGTAGATAAATATTAATTATATTTGCTAAGGCTGCCAACAATTCAGTATTATCGCTTCACATCGCTTAAAGACTTGAAAGATAAAACTGCATGGAGAGACGCTCAAGCGCCTGCAATACGTCTGATTTCAAAAGGCTGCCAAGGAAATGGCCTCGTCATGTCATTTTGCTGCAACTACAACGTTTGCCTGGCGGCCAATGCACTCCCTTGGTGCAGGAATGGCAACAACAATTTTCACTGTAATAACAATATATAACACACAAATTTGAATAACAAATTAACTCGCACACACTGTGACAACTCAGGCTGTGTGTGTGTCGAAATTGGCATTCAGTTTGCCGGGCTAGTCGGGGCTTCGACTTGCTGGCACAACATAATTGAATGGCTGCAGGACACACACGACAAAGCAGCGCAGGAGCAGCAGCCGCAAAATATTTGCTTATGTCGCTGACTGGCCTGGCATAAGGCAGACACAGAGCGACGGCAACAGGAGCAGCCACAGGCCGACCACGAACCACCCAACCGCCCGATCAACATCCAACCTCCAACCTTCAACGTCCATCAAGCATCGAGCCAGCCATCGACCAATGCAACTTGCAGTAACGTCAACGTCAACGTTGCATAAATCAACACAACGACAGCGACTACTGCGATGGCAATGGCAATGGCAATGGCAACGGCAGCGGCAACTGCCACGGTAACTGCAGTTGCAACTGCTGCAAATTTCAAAGCGAGCCAGTTTCTGGCCCACAGTTGATTGAATATTTCAAACTATGCATCTTTAATAATGCGCAACAACAACAAGGCCTGCAGCTATTTGTGGGCGCAAATGCAAATGCACAACAGCGTCAGCAGCATCAGCATCAGCAGCAGCGGCAGTGGCAGCGGCAGCATAAACTTATTTAGAGTTACCTACTGAGCGC